AGTCGGATTGTAGATACAAAACTCTCAATCTCAACCTAATTTTATAATATTGAATAATTAATCAATTACTCTATAGAAAATTACCAAACAAAGACCTTGAAGTGATTGATTGATTGTCGTGAGATTATGTGATTGTTTAGATGAGATTTGTTTCATTTAAGTATAAGTATCTCCTTGTATAATTGATTATGAATGTTTGTGCTTTGTGCTTTCCTTTTTTTTGTGATGTGTCCAATATATGTATATGGATGCAGAATGAGTGGAGATGCACCAAATACCTCTATGTGAACCTTGACCTTTAGTATAAGAGTAAGAGATTGCATGAAGTTCTAATGACTCCAACCAAACCATAATTTTTACAAGTTTTATTATTTTAATAATATCTATTATGAATAAACCCTATCTTAACCCATTGGTTATACAGGGATAGGCTAGAGGGGAGGTATCTTTTCCTCTGTATTTTGCAGTTACTTACTTAGGACTTGATGATGACCCTCATCCAAATAGATTAGATGATAAAGGAAGAGATCAAATGGAGAGGAGAAGTCTAACTTGTTTATCTTCCTGTGTGTTTATGTTTCCTCCAACTGCCTTCTTTTCCATGTAATGTATAACATTTAAATAATTTGAAAAAAACTTACGAGGTTTGTAATAATTATTTATGCACTATGAACATGATGTTTTTATGACTTAGTTATGTAATATATTTATGTTGATGTGTATTATTTGGGATAATATGTTTGTAAAAATGTTTTAATTTATTCCTTACTCACCATGAAACTTTAGGATGACAATTGAAAAAGATTATATAAAGAGCACAAATTGTTTAGATTACAATCTCTTATTTTGTAGGCATAACAACATTACTTAAAATTTTAAAAAGAACTATAGCAACATAACATTCAAAATATAAACAACATAAACAAATTCCTATAAACTAGAAAACAAACTATGATTCAATCAACTGTATGTTATAGGCACATGTTCAACACAAATGAATATAAGTGTTCTTGTCAGCAAGAGGTCTTGTATTAAAGAGATGGAAGGGATTGCCAATAAGTTTGATATAGGTGGATTAACAATAGGTATGGTGCTTTGGTTCATAATTGTCGTGAATTATTTAATTATGCATGTGAGGGACAAGAGGATTACAGTGAAGTGAGGCAAGTTGTAGAAAACGAAAGAAGGAAGCTAAAAGAAAAATATGGTCACTGCTTTATAGGTGACACACATAGTATTATTTTTGAATGTCAATGAGCGACGTGTAGTTAGAAGGAAAGGTGATAGTTTAGAGAGATGTTCTTATCATATGAAAAAAAAAAAAAATCACCTCGGTGTTCTATATATTGCGTAAAAGGGCACAATTGTTCCACCTGCCATTTTGGTTTACAATAACAAGATCATTTACAATCTCAAGCAGTATGTTCATCCTCTCAACATTTTTGTGATGGAGGCAATCAAACTCTCTAAATCCAAAGGATGTTATGGTAGGGGTGTTTGTATTAAAGTAGTTCAAGTTAAATGGAAATGGATTTTGACATGTTTATTTTATTTTATTTTATTTTTAGATGGATGAGACTAATAATGATGATCATGATGATTATGCAGTTTGTAGATTTTAGATTTGGTTCAAGTTTGTTTATTAATTTAATCATGTGACTGCAACTTGTTAATGGAATCTATTATATGCTATTATTAGCATCTAAGTGTTTTTCTGTTACATTACACATAATAAAATGGATGACTGTTTCTATTGGTGACCAATAATATTACATTAATAATAGTTTAATTATGTACAAAGTAACTTGAGCATTCAGTGAATGATTGTTACTAAGAATTATGTATTGTGTATATTGAAGTGGGATAACTTATATATGTTTATGTAGATTCTCCTGAGACATGTTAATAGCTCTTCTAAAACATTATACTTAACTTGCAGAGACTATGTTCGGTTATTACTTTTTTTGTAGAGGAATTAATTTAAGACCTTATCTTTTGCCTAATATTACTGTTGGTTCAATTAAAAAACATGATTGGGTAAATTAGACTAGACAATTGACATATAGTTCATTTGGTTTGTGATTGAAATCCTACCTCTGTGAGAGAAAGTTTTGTTCAAAATGTGATTTTTATTTTAATTGCACTGTTGTTAAAAATTACTGTTAGAAACACATTGACAGTTGTATTTAAAGGCTTTATAATATTCTTATCACAGTTGTTAATATGTGGTATAACAACCTCAAGTTATTAATTGGTTCCATCTGTTATTTGCTCTAACTATTTTGCTTCTGATATGTATTAATTCATTGTTTCAAAGATAACTGGGAAACACCTCTAGCTAGAGCATTATAAGATTAAATTAATATCTTATTCTGCTTCTAATTTGTATACACATTAATATCCTGTTAAAAAATATTTTTTATAAGTCATTTCTAAGTTGTAAGATTGTATCAGTCTAAATTTTAAAAAAATAACAAAAATCGTCTTCACTCTGCAAGTAGCATATTCATTATATATCCAATAAACAAGATGTTTGGGATATTTCTTCAACAATTCCATTAATTTCATGAACATATATTATAGAGAGCCAAATACATGAAAATGACCGAGTGTGAGAGTGGTTATGAACTGCTCTTCAAGTGCAATTTAAAGAGCAATTTTTATAACTTTTTTGCAAGTTCTCAACTTAAATAACCATTATTTGACTTTTAAATCACAAATTCAAGTGCGAGCCCTTGTCATTATTGTATATACCAATAATTTAAGGTATTACATCATTGTGACCCAATCCTAAATCACTGTAAACCTATACTTTGCCTTTAGATCTCTTCTCACACCACACATTCTCTTCTCATATTACCACCAACAATACTACAAATATCATTGTCAATCAAATCCTTCATCATGAAACTATTATTCTCATTATCACATCACCTCTCACTAACTCAACCAACACCATGTGTAGATCCACCATTGGTTTCTTATCACCATGCCTAAAGTGAAATCCATAGCCACTTCTAACCCTTCATCACACCAAACAATAATCACTATACAACCATGGATGTCACTCCTAATTGAGTTGTTTTGTGAGAGCGATTATACTACACCATTTTACATTCTTTTAAAGCAGTTACAACAAAGCAAAATAGTAAAGTTGCTCTCTAAAGGTGACTTTAAAGAGCGGTTAGTATGTAACCGCTTTTCAAAAATGACTTTAAAGAGTGGTTGGTACATAACCTTTCTCTAAAGTCACTTTTGAAGAGCAATTGTTTGTCACTCTCACAAATTAAAATTTAAAACCTTAAACCCTAAACTCACGTAAGGGTGGAGCACTACTCAACTTATATTAGCTTTATGAATTTTTTTTTTTTCATCTTCTTTATGCTAACAAAATTAGTCTTTTCCACAACTGTAGGTAACTTTTTCATACATCTCTCCATTCTCTCTTTCTTTCTTTTTCTCTCTCTATTAACAATAAAATCTTATATTATTTTGATCTTTTTTTACCAGTGTTTCGTTCTTAGATATGGATAATTAATTTAGTTAACACAACATATATCCACTTTGGATAGTAGTATTTGTTAGAACATTTTGAACAGTTCTCTAAAATGATGCGAAATTACTCTCAAAATCTTTTTTATTGTAGTTTTGATACATAACTATTCTTTAACGTGCTTTAGAGAGAGATTATATACAAAACTGCTCTGCAAGTGAATATTAAAAAATGATTGTGTTGCAACTACTCTTTAAAGTTACTTTAAAGAATAGTTATATTAAAATTGGTCTCTAAATGAAGAATAAAGATTAGTTATACTATTTTGTTATGCAAGTAATTACTTTAAAAGACCTAAATGACATAGTGAATTGTTTGAAAAACTTTATTGGAGTATAAGTTCACAACTCACATTCACAATTTCTTAATAGTTATTTTCAACCATTCGTTTTTACTTTGCAATCTCAATATTTTTTTTGGTGAATGGTCAATGATAATTACACAAATCAAATAGCATAAATTTAGAGCCTTTGCCACTCTACAGGACTTTGACTTTGGTGTCAAATTGAATTAAGTAAACCATTCTAAAAAATTTAATCAAACAAGCCTTAACCTTAAGCCTTTGTCATCAAGATATGTACCCAACAAATTTATTATGAACATCTAATATAAAGTACCTATTTAATTCTTATAGATGACATGTTTATAAATTAGTTTTTATACTTAAAAAGTATGTTTTATTTCTTATTCAAGTATTTATTATATTTTGTTTCATTTCATTGTTAATAGTGTTATAAGGGACTAAAATGTAGGCATTTTTAAGTATAGAAAACTTTTAAACTAGTGTTAATAATAAGGACTAAATATATAGTTAACCAATTCTTAAAATTTTATTAAATTTTTTGAAATTTTTTACTCTTAAACTTTTAAAGTTATTTTATGCTCTATTATTTTATTACAAATCCCTCAAAAAAACTTGAGAATTTTAAATAAATTAACTAAATGAACTAAATTTATATAATTTTAAAAGTACTTTAATTTAATTAACTAAAAAAATATAGAAAACTAAATCACATACAATTAAAGCTGAAGATATTGGCGTACAGTTTTAATATATTAAAAATTAAATGTATTTTATTTAACAAAAATACGAATGATAAATCTAAATATGTAATACTTAAAAGGTATGAATATCTATTTTCAATATACCTAATATTTGCAATCCATGTGCCTTTTATATTAAAACATTTTAAAGCATGCTATTTTCAATTGGGGAGAAAAAAATAACGATGGAAAGACATACCCATTAATTTGAACCTCTAATTAATAATTACATAAGAACTATAAGAGTAAAAGGACAAAAAATCACATGTCTCAATTTTTTCCTAAAACTTAAGAAGGGAAAAGGAAGAATATTCCTTTTCCTTTTTTCAAAATGAAACATTATATATGGATTACAATAAGTCTCATGAAGTAAAAATGAAACCAATTATTCATTACAGTTGTCCTAGAAACTAATTAAATCTGGAAGAACAACATGATTATTGTAAACTGGAATATAAGGTACGAGGCTAAAAGAATCCACAAAAGGATTATTAGTAGCTATGGCCATAGGCGCGCTTGTACAAATGTAGGTACTCTCTTTAAAATCAAGTGCTAAATCATCATCAAATACCTCCCATTGCTCAGTGATTACGGTCTTCAAACCTTTTCGATCTAATTGCTTCATCTCCGAAATAGTGGCAATGGAACTACAATCTCTCACCCAAATGACATTATTATCCTCATTTGCCACAACACCATTATTCATACTATTAATATAATCATTATAATTAATACCCTTTAAGCTTTTCCTCTTTGAGACACAACCATCCATCATTCTCTGTAGGTCAAGAATGTGTTTCTCATCGATCCTCAAAATTTCGGGGCACTCAGAAACATTAAGGGCCCCAATGTCTCTACAAAACTCAAAGTACAAAGCAAGTTTAACACCTTGCGATTCAGCTTTTCTTGCAACATCAAGACCAACCTTAGCTTCCTCTTTCCCACCTATATCCAGTACCCTCAAGAACACTTGATGAACCCTTTTGCAAAATCTCCCATACACTTCCAAAACTTCGTCTATGACACAATCCATGGCCTCAAGAATGAGAACCGCATTCATGTTCTGGTTCCGAGGCTTGATTTGTAGAAGCAAATCAATCAAACATTGCAACTTCTCCAAGCTTTGCAACTCTTCCATCACTGTCTCCTCGATCTCCTTATTCCCACGCTTGTTTTGTTTTGTTGCTTCTAACCTCACAAACGCTGACTTTTGGTCCAAGTATGCAAAATAGGAACGCACAAAGGCGTTGAAAGCCCATGCCTTACGAGGGTTTATGTGTCCATCGCTGAAGTGTGACAAATCAAATGGCAACCTTCCCAATTTTTGAACGGAAGGAAGGTCGAAACAAAACACCCCGTGAATGAGCATTAACCCTTTGAGGGCCACAACCCATGAACGAGTCTTTTCCATTCTCAGGGAAAGAGTACAGAGAAGAGGTTTAGGGTACAATGGTGAGGTATGTAACCATTGGAAAACCCTTTGAACGTTCTTGTAATCCATGCATTGTTCATCATGGCTAGTGGCCTTGATGATCACGGTTTCAAGATCAGGGTTCCTGCATGGGCCACTTGGTGAAAGCTTCGCGACCCAAATGCTGCATTTGTCTTTGAGAGCTCCCGTGGCCCTTTTCCATAGCCTCATTTTCTGATCGTGATGTTGTAGATAGTTTATCTTCGAAATGCGAGAATGAAAGGTTTTCTTGTTTTATCACCTTGATCCTTTGATTAATCTGTGTAAAAACTGGTGATAGTTTGGAATTATGTTGAATCTTCACACAACTGACGATATGCAAATGTGTGTTGTATGTCTAGCCATGATGTGCTGTAGTCCTTGACTATATTATTTGTCTCATCCGTGTATTTTTGGTATTGATGTCGTGGAATTCGTCAAGGGTAGTTATGTCGCTTGCTAAAAAGATGGGTCATCCTTAAACACAATTTAACGAGACCTGATCAAGAAGTTTCTTTATGTAATATAATTGTTTATTATTAAATTATTAAGAATAAATATCATTACCATCATATGTGTCCAAAAATAAAAAATAAAATCATCAATCACGTTGAACTTACGGTAAACGGTCACGCTCTAACATTAGGAACATTGCGATTTTGATTTGACACTTTTCCCTTAAAAGGGATGATTTGGCACAAATTGATAATTTAATTTATGACCTGTAACATATACACAAACTTGGCTCATAGAATGCCAAGGTAAATTCTGTAGTATCATAAATTTTTTTAAAGGTATTATATATGAAAAATTTTAATCAATAATATTTAAATATGTCTTTAAATAATAAATTTATTTAATAATTTGAAAATATAATAATAATATTATATTAATATATTTTTTATATTTTTAATTTTATTATTATAATATTTAATTATTAAATTAATATTTTTTATTTTTTATTTACAATAAATAAAAATTAGTTAAATATGAATTATATTTTATTTAAAATTAAATTTATAAAAAATAATAGAGAAATAAAATAAAAAATTTAATATATAATAATAATAATAATAGAATTATGTAATAAATAATATAATTTTAAATAAATTATATATAATAATATTTTTTTAACTTAATACGTGTCTCTTTTTTATTGGTATAAATTTTTTAGATACATTATCTATATAAAAAAAAAAATTTACGATACCATAGCACACAACTTAAACAAAATAAATTAGTTAAGCTAGCTGTTTTTATTATGTCAATTAGGCTAGTCATTTTAGTTAGATAATTAGTTATTTTTTTTATTTATTTTTTCGTTCAGTTAACAATACTTAGTACATAAAATTCATTGCATTTTTCATTAGTTTTAGTCAGAAACAAATTAGATTAGTTTGTGTATATGTAATATTATCAATTTAATTTCAAAACAATATTTTAAATATTATATTTTTATAATTAAAAGTGAAAACTAAAACAAAAAACAAAAAACATTTTTTCAAAATAAACAAAATTTAGTTTTCTTTAAATTGATGCATTTCTTTTCGTCATTTGACTTTTTTCCTTCTCTTTGATTTTTGCGTCAAATTCCTCCGTTAATGACTTCAAATCTCACTCCAAAAAATGTTACCACATTTCTCATGTTATTTAATAAATCATCGTTAAGTGTTTGAAATTCATAAATAATTGATCACATTATTAATAGACTTAAATATTACTAAATGAATTACAATATTAATCTATTTTTAATAAAATAAGAAATCATAATTAATTGTAACCCTCAATGAATTTTATAAAAATTTCTTAACACGCCCAACTTTCAATATCGACTTATAGCCCTTTCATCCGATTGTTTGTTTTCCAACTAAAAGCAACTATTCAGAGTTGCTTCTGATGCGACACTGTTGTAAACACATTCTTCAAATCTTTTAATTTTGTAAAATCTATTTTTGGTAGAAATCAAATTATTCAGACTCAGAGACACAAAAGTTAAATTTTAGATCATATGAAAAATAACGTTAAATTTGACCCACCCCGACTAATCTCAACATTAAAAGAGAATTGGTGACTGAATACATTAAATGTATAATTCTTATATGCTAATCAGCGTTAGAAGTTTCTTCTCTTTAAAAGAATTTGCAGAAAAACCATTTTTGTCATATTTCACAAAATGAACTTTTCTAATTTGTTGATGTTGCTATTGACAACACTCTGCTTTTAAGTTGTTCAGCTGCACTAGCAATTGGTGTAATGGAAACGAATGGGAACTTGCATGCGGGTTGGTTGCACATATATCTCTAAGTTCCATCTTTTTGCTTCCAAATGCTCTTTGTTATTGGTATTGGTTATGTTGTCACACTAATTTACGTGATGCTGTAGTCGCAATCTATTCAAGCTGCACTTAATTCCATTATCATAGAGTACTTAAGGCCTTCACTTTCAAGGTTTAATGCATCGGTGAGACTAAGCCATCTGGTTATTTATCATCTTTCTCAAGTTGCAAAAGATTGAAGATTAAAATTATTTGTCATTTTTTGTTACTCCCTCTAATCTTAATTAGAAGAAAATGTAAAGAGTATTTTTTAAGAAACATAAACTTACTTTTAGATATATTAATTAAGATATTTTATATAACTTTAATTTTTTACAAAGTTAATGTTGTTAAGACACTCACTTCTTATATAAGTGGATGTATTCACAAATCAGTCATGTAATTCAAGTATTTTGAAATACAATATAAATTTATAGCATATAACTATCACCATGACCTCTCACTACCATCTCCATTGGGCTATTGCAGTCAATGCTACTAAATTCATTTTTTTTACTATCATAATTACTTTTATCACTTATGTAATCATCATCATTATTGTTATTATTGTAACCACTATCATATATTGCTATCACTTTTATTATTATCTCTTGCATACCTTAACTATGTAATATCACTGTCATTAATATCACTCACCTTTATCACTATAGTTGTTATTATTGGTATTATTACCACCACCCTTACCCCAATCATTAATAAAATTATCATCACAGTTGATTGTCACAAGCATCATTGATGTTACTATCTCATGACCACAACCTTAATTGTTTTCTCAATCACCTACCACCATCGTAATTCGTAATTATTACTATCATCAGTTTATTATTATCATTGTAATTGTTACCATCACTGTTGATGTTTTTACTACTAACCATCATCTTTATTCATAGTCCTTTTGAATAAATGAAAATTTTATTGGGCTAAACCTGAGTTATTCATCCAAGTTTCGCATTGAAAAACTTGAAAAAATGTGAGGCTAAGAAATATTATAAATAAGATTTATTTTATGTTTATACACTACAACATGTAATCTTTTTGGTAATGGCCAATTAGGTTTGTGTGTCAGGCGAATGTTTATAATTTTGACCATCCAATAATTGATTATGATTTGCAATTTTATTCATCCAAAAACTATAGGTGAGAGAGTTTGTAATTTTATCCGATAAAAAATTATAAAATAATAAAAGTATGTTAAAAGTTAATAGATGTAGGTAAAAGATGTTGAACCATGTTAAAGTTTGTGTTTTTCTCTCTCCTTTTTATGTAGGTGATTCTAGAGATAGAAAATGACCTTTCTCTCTTCTCTCCGCACTTCATTATTATCCATGTTCCTACTATCTATCACCAATATCATTGCCATTATCACACCAATCTCTTCCATCTGCAAATAAATCATAATACTGAAAACTAAAAAATATATAAATTTTAAATTCATAGTGATTTGTATGTTTTTAATTTTAAATTTTAAAATTAAAATTATAAAAAAATTCCAAAACCATAATATTAAAAACTTATTTTAGTTTTAAAAAATTTCAAAACTTAAAACTAAAATCTAAAAGAACCAAAGAAAATATATTCATAAATAAAAGATCATATCATCCATCTAAAGAAGAATGATTTCAACCTAAAATATATTCATAACATCACACTCTTTCATAGTATTTTCAACACATTTTAATCACTAGAAAGGATTTCGTCAGATAGTGTGTTATATTTTTCTTTTCAAAATTTTATTGAATTGGTTATCTCATTGAATATTAATGGGTTAAAACTAGGCTTTATATATACTTACATAGTTTGGATGATAATATTACAAGTGACAGTCACGGCAATCATTTTCTGCCAGAGTTTTATTTTGTGTTAAAATTTATTAGAAATTTCAGCAATTGAATCCAACAAAAAATAAAAAATAAAAAGAACTCTGCAATGGATGCTATGCTAGTATGCTACACTAAATGAGAAATTCCTGGACTAAATGCTATGTTCATGTTTCTTTCAGAAAGACTTTACACTATGCAATTCCATCCTTTGGTGCTGCTAATGCCCTTTCACTAGGTTATGGAAGTCACAATTAAAAGACAACATTACTTGAGAACAATTTGGAATCATACAATCAAAAGGGCATATAGCTATACCGTACAAGCCAGAGCCTCTCACCCCCAAAACCTATACAGCTAATAAATCTTTTTCCACCATCAATTGCCATAAGAAACAAGCATCAAATTACTCACCAGTTTCATATTTGAGCTTCAGATTTGGCCATTGTTTGCAATTGAAAGAACCTATGTTATATGGAAGCTCTCTTTCATCCATTTTGTCTGTAGTTGCAACCCAGCATCTTTAAAAGCATTCCAAGCAGATTGGTATAGCCTCTGATCCAATCTTGTTCCTTCTGTTTTCATGTCCTGTAGAAGTTTCACCAGTTCATCAACCTGACCAACCTTAGAGTAGACACCAACCATAATACCTGCCATGGCCCTATCAATAACCCCACCATTCATTCTATACTCATTAAACTGTTTCACACATTTTTCAAACTCTCCAGCCTTACTATAAGCACCAATGATGCTTGTGTAAGTCACCTTATCTGGTGCTACTTTGCTTCTCTCCATTTCTTTCCACACCTTCTCAAGCTGCTTCAGATTCTTTTCCCTCCCATGCATGTCTATCAAGGCATTGTAAATCCACACATTTGGTTTGCACCCGATTTCTTTCATCCTAGCCACCAACTTCATTGCACTTCTCACCCTCCCAGTTCTGCCATACATCACAATCATGCTTGAATAAGCATAAACACATTTATCAAACCCCTTTTGCTCCATCTCTGAAAACACCCTCTCAGCTTTGCTATGTTGCCCAAGACGGCAATAGGCATTTAAAACTGAAGCATAGGTGACTTGACCTGGTTCATAGCCTTGAGAAATCAGCTCCTCAAAAACCTTAACCGCAGCTGAAAACCCTCTTTTCTTGCTGAATCCATTGACAACAGCACATAGCACACAATCAGAAACCTTGACATCTCCATCCTGCATTGCATTAACAACTTCCAAAGTTTTCTCCAACAAACCCTCTTCAACATACATAAGTACAAGCTTTGTATAAACCTCAGGCTCCTTTATCACTGTTCTGCTTTTAGCTTCTCTAAGAAGTTCCTCAGCCACACCAATCTTGCGCAAACTCGCAAAAGAGCATATCAAAGAAGAGTAAATAGAATACTGAGAAATCCCTTTCTTGATCATGTCCCTAAAATACTCAAGTGCTTCAAAAGCTCTTCCACACTTCGCTAATGACCCACATAGAATCCCATATATCTGACCTAAATACCTTGTTGAACCTCTTAATTTCCTACTTTCAAATTCATGAAACAATTCAACCACTCTCTCACATTCATCAAGTTTAGAGTAAGCTTCCATAATGTGTAAATAACCTCTAGAATCCAGAAGAACACCAGTGGATTTCATTCGTTCAAAGAACAAAACATTTTTCCTAAACATATGCAGCTTATTATAGCTTCTCAAAGCAGAACTAAAAGCTAAGACAGCAACTATACTATCAGACTTAAAAGCATCAAGCAGAACCTCAGCAACCTTGAATTTCCTATGTTCAATGCAAAACTTAATCAATCTAGAGCAAGTAGCTCTATCAGGCAACACACGGTAAACCTTAAAGTCTTCAGAAACTGATAAAATGAAATCCCATTTCTTCAATCTCATCAAGTACCTGATCACATGCTTTAAGGTGGATTTCTCAGGCCTAAACTCTGGCCTTTCTTTCAACCATTGGTAGTAGTCAAATGCAAGTTCCTGAGTTTTTGGACCCTCAAATAACCCACATAAGAACTCGTTCAAGTTCTCAGTTCCTGGCTTGGAATATTCTTGAGAATCACCAAAGTTAACATCTATATGAGTGATGGGGGTGTTGGAAGACTCTTCTTCTAAGATGGGTGTGGAAGAAGCTGAGAAATTTACATGGAATAAGCGTGGGTTTGAGGGTGAGACAGAGTAAAAGGAAGGGAAGCGGCACGTGGGAATGAATACATGCACGTGGGTTCTTCTGCAACATTTAGTGCAAGCCAGAGACCATTCTGCAGAACAGGAAATGGCCATCACAGTTGTGGTTTGGAAGAGAGAACACTGTTGATTGAAGATTGTGGTTGAGTTACCATATAATAATATATGTATGGCATTATCTGAAATAGATATCTTGGCCACTCATATAATGACGTGTGGTGTGGGACAATTGCAAACCTTTTATTTTCAGATTCTCTTCAATGCCACGTTAATCTCTTCTAGCCATACCCATGTTCCATTATCTTTTCAGAGTCAAATGAAATTCGATTTTCAGAGTCTTATGGTCACATATTTATTAATTGTTAAATTCTGTTTGACAAATTCTAAACATTTGAAAAATTAATTGAAATTCTTTTTCTGTAAAGTCTTAGGATTTATATTTTTTTTACAATAAAATTAATTTTATTACTATTTAAAAAAATGAAAAATGTTAATGCTTTATTTTTTATAGATATTTTTTATAGTATTCTTAAATTTTAAAAAAATTATATTTTTTAAAATTAACAGTTATAATTTTTTAATAGTTTAAAAATTAAAAAATATTAATGTCTTTTTTAACTAAATCATTGACCTTATCATTTATTAAGTATAAAATAAATAATAACAATTATTTTAGAAAAAGTATCAAATTTTCTCAATTATAAGAGATATAAAAAATTTTATTTTTTTATATTTTTATTTAAATAAAATATTTAGTGAAATAAAATAACAATTTAATCAAATATAATTATTTGCATTAAACTTAAAGGTAGTTAATATCTTTTCAAGAATATCTTTTGAAAATGAATGTAGTAGCCAATAAATATATATCATACCTGTCGAAAGGTATCCTCAGTGTTCAATAAAGTAACCGATAATAACTACTTTTTGACGCTAAAATTATTTTCACCATAATTCAATCGTACGGTTTTTGTTGAAATTAAAGGGTAAAATGGAGAGATAACAGATTTACACAGAAATAAAGAATGAAAAGGTTTTCCTATCCTTATAGAATGTAATACATAGGTTTGACATATTATTTATATAAGGGTCTTGCATTAAGGAATTAAAAAAAACTTTTAATTAAAAATTATATAAAAATACATTAAAAATCCTGATAAGTGTGTATTGATTATATTTTTAATAATATTTATTATTAACTTCTTAATCAGTAACTTTAAACTTTAATTATTAACTAGTGAAAATAAGCTATTTTAAGAATAACTTATGTCAATGTTACTTTACTTAATATTTTTTATAAATATTAAATTTCATTAATAATATGATATTATATTATTGATCATGCACATCAAATTTTAGATAAATTAGACGGTTATAAACATGTATTTTTTTGGTGAATATTTACCCTATTATAAAAATTATATTATATTATATATTAAAATAAAATTACTTGATAAAATATCAATTACTTTTAATCCAACTATTACATTAATAAAAATTACTCATAAAATAACATATAACACTCGCTCACGTAATACACATACACTTTTCTTATAGCCTTAGGGGATACCATTTCCTAAGAGTGTAACAAGTAATGCAACTTCGTAAACACTAATACCCATTCACTTACATACATTTATAATTTGTTTGGTTTAGAAGAGAAATAAAAGAGAAATAACTTAAATAGAAACAACTGAATAAAATTTTCAATTGATTGGTATAACAAAATATGAAAGAAAATGAATAATATGATTATTTTTTTTATGAATAGACATTTGCATTCATAAAACAAATAAATTATACTCCCATGCTTTGAAAATTAGTCAATTTTGTTTTTCTCAAAATAATGGTCATCTTATAATTTTAAAATAGAATTTATTTTTTTCTCAGTTTTACCCTTAAGATAATTATTATCTCAAAATCCATGTTCTATCCTTTCTGTCTATAAATTTATTACATAAACAAATTCTAAAGGGGCTATTATAGGAAATCTCAATTTTTTTTTAATAAAAATAAGTTAATTAAATGCATTTCTTATTTCTTGTGTTACAACCTAAAATAACTATTTTTTCAGAGAGGGAAATGGTATAATATAATATTAGGTAGGTCCTACACAATTACTCTTTCATAACTCTCTCGGTTAAACTAAACATAACCCTAAAGATGATAGAAAATAAAATACATTAAATAACATTGTTATTTTCGTATTGTTAGAAGAATTTAATTTTTCATCTAACTATTGCACAGACAATTACATTAAACAAAGTTGCATCGTACTACCAGGAGTTGGTTCAAGTGTAAAATCTTGATTCCCTTTAAAAAAAGTCTTGGGTTCAAATATTATAGAAGAAAAAAGTTATAGTTAGGAGAGTTCATTCTACTATGCTATAAATGTTCTCAACTCTAACGAGATTATTGTTTGTGAAAGATACCTGCAGTGTAAAAAAAAAGTTTAGATCATAAGAAGCATCTTGTTTTACTTTAATTCTTGTTTGATATCAGCAAGATTAATGTTCTAAAATACCCATGAAGTGTGATATATGACAAAAATCACAATTATTTGCTGTCGTTATCTTCAACTCTAAAAGATTTATTCGTGTTCCCATGTCTTGAATGGTAATTGAAATCTACCATTCAGCCGAGTAGATGAGTCAAACCAAACATTCAAATACTAACTGGTTGAGAGTTCCACAACATCGGTTGAACTTGAAGATAGAACCATTGGTTTTTAAAGTTGTAGATTAATATGATTCTCGAGTCATTATTTATTAATCACGAGCTGCTAGATCCGGCAACCAGGCAGAAGCAGGGTTTCAATTCACTTTTCAAATCTGACTAAGGTATGCATTCTTCAAATGTCACGCAGCGTTTGGAATAATTCTGTTGCCTTTATTTACTTTTGATTGCATCTTAGAAATCATGGTGGTGGTATAAAAACGTGGCATTTCAAGGGAAACATCGCATTTAGGAAACCATTATACTTCACTTAGAATTTTAATCGTAGACTCTAGGTGAAGTTAAAAAGATCAAACAACATGTGTCGAGTGTGCAAAAACAAAAACCAAGTCTTCACCGAAGAAATGAAAGTAGGATGTGTAGCAGAAATTAATATAGTAAGTTGGCACGACTGAGAAATCAAAGGAACAATACATCTTACGAACTCGTAGCACCCTAAACACTATTTATACAAGATATCACTATCCGTTCTCCCAATTAGGGTTCTTCATTGTGTCGAATTGCTCGACCACGAAAGCATATGATCCTAGAGACAAAGCAAATATCAGAGATAAGTGATAACACGGCCTGACACGTTTGAGATAGCATGAAATATCATGTTTCATAAGATATAAACCTTCAGGGAGAACTTTAAAATCTATGAACAAGCTTTGCCACCAAACATATAAAAGGCTGGCTTGTCTCTACTCTAAAAAATATCCTAGTACCGTGAGAATCATCCAAGGAAAAAGTGAACCACTGATAACTCCCTTTTTCTAAGTATATTCAATCTCTTCAGCGAATTGGGTGGTATTGTGTGATACCACGCTTAGGTGGCAACTTCCTCAATATGAAAAGGACCAAAGAAGAAGGCAATATTTCCACCAACTGTAACAAAAATGTGGAAAGGGTTAGAGGAATGGTGAGAGAGACTTCAGACAAAATAGAAGCAAGCAATTTCAAGTGGAGCATTTCCATAAGCGTGGTAAAAAAAATACAATGATTGAAACCTCATAATAGCAATCCAATACCTTCCAAATAGAAATCAGAACATCAAATGGCCATATTTTATGAGAAACAAATTTTCATCTGTAGATGAAAATTGGTTCAAAAGATTTCTTATGTATGAATTGGTGGATTCTGAGACATGATGATTTGCTATCCAATTTAGCTCAATTGCCACTTATGGTGCAGGTTAAAAACAAACTTACTAAAAATCAAAGCTAAAATTGATGTCAAACATCAATTTGAATAGGCGACTTTAAATAGGTTCTAAGAGTTTGGGTCAGAAAAAAAAATTTAGGCAGAGGACAGGTCAGAGCTTTCATCACTCAGTTAAAAGCAAAAGTATCCAGATGAGCACAAAACAGACCCAAATGTAGAAATGATAACTAGAATATCGTAATAATAAGCAGCAATGAGCCAATGGCCTTTTAGGTTATAGTCTAGATATCCATTGATCACCAGGAGCCTGTGGTGTTCAAGGTTGGGCTTTCAATCATCCCACATTCCATTCCCCCAATTTCCCACCTCGATACAAATCCCCATCGTCTACCTTACCAATAATAAAAAAGAACAGTAAGAAGTATAGTAATAAAAGCACCAAAATAAAGGAACTCAAACACCTTACCAGGTAATATATGAAGTTCAGAATAGGATGATCCAAGACATCAAGATCCGCATTTTTATCAAATGCATTAAGGCACATCTGACACAACAAAATGTAATCAAACTCAATTTGGAAACCAAGCAAATGGGAATCCCTGAGATTTAAAAATAAAAAGGGCCTCACCATTATGCATCTAACAAGGAAACATAGAAAACATATGGTGGTCACATAGCCAACCTACAATGGAAACATGCAGCTTGTTAAAATATATTTAAAATTGTTAAGAGAGAAGATATCAAAAGAGCATTGATGAAATTCGTATGTGTTTGATACACATCAAAGAGCTTTATTTATAATGGAAAAGTAATGATTACCAAAAAAAATTACAGAATATACAATTACCTAATTACCATAATGACAAAGATACTGATTTTCCTAATTAACATATTTAACAATCCCCCTCAAATTAGAGCATATAAATTATATGCACCAAGCTTGTTATATATATAACTAATTTGTGGTCTTCTTAAAGATTTAGTGAAAATATTTGCAAGTTAATCATTGGAATTAACAAATCTTGTGGCAATATCTCCAAATAAAACCTTTTCTCCAGCAAAATGACTATCTATCTCAGTGTGTTAGGTTCTTTCATGAAACACTGGATTTGAGGCAATATATAAGGTAGCCTAATTATCATAGATATGTATCATCTGTGAGATCTCTCCAAACCTCAACTCTTGAAGTAGTTGTTTGACACATATAAATTCACAAATTGCTAAAATCATGGTTCGATATTCAGCTTTGCACTTGATCTCGCAACTACATGTTGCTCTTACTTTTTTAGGAAGCCAAGTTACCTCTAATAAAAACAATATATCCTAAAGTAGATCTGTTTGTCAATTGCAGAACCTATCCAATCCAGATAAAATCTTTCTCTAGTGAAATAACAATCTATCTCAATGTGTGGTTCTCTCATGATACATCAGATTTGACGCAATGTGTAAGACAGCCTAATTATCACAGATATGTATCATCTGTAAAGTCTCTCCAAACTTCAACTCTTGAAGTAGTTCTTAGAGTCATATAATTTCACCAGTGACTAAAGTCATGGCTCAATATTCAACTTCTGCACTTTGAAACTACATGTTGCTTCTTACTTTTTTAGGAAACTATGTTACCTCCAATAAAAACAATATACCCCCTGAAGTAGATCTTTTGTCAATAAAACATCCAATACAAATAAAATCTTCTCTCAGATAAAATGACAATCTATCTCAATGTGTTTGGTGCTCTTGTGAAACATCGAATTTGAGGCAATGTGAAAGGCAACCTAAATTATCATAGATATGTGTCATCTATGAGGTCTCTCCAAACTTCAACTCTTGAAGTAGTTGTTTGATTCATATAAGTTCTTAAGTGGCTAAAGTTATGGTTTGGTATGCAGCTTCTGCACACGATCTTGCAACTACATGTTGCTTCATGTTTCTCTAGGAAACCAAGTTACCTCCAATAAAAACAATATACCTTGAAGTGGATCTTTGGTCAATAGGAGAACTTATTCAATCTGCATCTTAATATTCTTCAATTTGAGTATGACCTTTGTTTTCGTATAGAAAATTAAGAACATCAGCATCTTTGTAATTATAATAATTAGATAATTGTATATTCTGTGATTATTGCATTGCCATTATAAATAAAGCTCTCCATTATGTATCAAACACAAATTCTATCAATGCTCTTTTGTTTTCTTCTAACGAGAGACAAACCCTAGTCTGTATATTATCCGATGGACCCACTGCCACTGATAAATTTTCTTTTAGAACCATGTTTCCTCTTTGGTTTCCAAACTCTCCTTTGCTTCCTTTTTTTCTAGCTCCCACCTCTACTGTTTCAACACCGCTGCCGTTGTCAAGCCTCTGCTCTCACCAAAGTTGCCTCCCTCTGACCAACAAAACCCTGACAGCCTTATTGTCATTGGAGTTACCACACACTCATGTCACTTCTTCCAACAGCACATGGTGGCGCATTCAACGGCCTTTCTTGCCAATGATCATCTCGTGGGACTCAACTCTCTCTACTCTTCCTAGATCTACCCTTCTTCCACGCTGAAAAGAGTCAACTCCAATGACAATGGGACTACTAAGGTTTTGCCAATTGAAGGATGGCAACTCCAATGATGTGCTCACAGTGAGAACAAAGGCCTAATGGCTGCGGTGATACTGAAAAAGTGGCTGCAACAGCTTGGAAAGAAAAAAATAAGAAAAGGTGGAGTTCGGAAACCAAAGAGGAAACACGATTTTGAAAACAAAACTAAAAAAAATTACCAGTGGACAGTGGTTCCACCAAATAAGACACGGACTAGTGTTTTTCTCTCATTAGGCTTTAGATATCATATTAAGAGAGAAAAAAATGAAAGAACATTGATGGAATCCATGTGTGTTTGATACACAGTAGAGCGATTTATTTATAATGACAAAGTAATGTTTACAAGATAATTACAGAATATATGGTTCCCTATATATCATAGTTACAAAGATACTGATTTCTCTAATTAACATGTTTAACAAAAATATCACAAGAATAGATTATCTTCAAAGTATCTATCTAGTATCATATTATTCTCTATTTTTCCTTGTCTTTCTATCTCCTCTTTCATTGCATAAGCCCATATTACATAGTATAAAAGTGGTACCATCCAGCATGTTTTGTTCCTGACACCATTCTGTTGCAGAGTTTTCTAACAAATTACTATGCCTGTATCCCCATTCTATAATTCTTTTACTCAAGTTTATCCATCTACCCACAAATGTTTGACTGCTTTCCCTGAACCATTTATTATTCCAAAGTGTCTGTGCTCTATCTCTTTGACAAACCCAAACTGCAGTGCTAGATGGAGCAAAATTTTTTAGTTATTCCTCAATTCTGGCATTCTATTTCCTTGTGATGCCTCAAATTTGGCAACATCTCTTCCTACTAATTATCTTGCCAGTGGTGACTTTTCTACCTACAGACAGTCAGTGGTAACTTTTTTTCTTATCTTGGATCATGTGGATGATGATTTTCCCATGCAATCAATGAACCATTGCTGTTACTGAGTAATGTTTCCAACAATGCACATCTCTCCAGCAACCAAGTTACATTTTCAACCATGTTTTGCGGAGCCCACTTTATATTTATGTCCATAAAGCTTAGTAAACTTTAACTTGAGGGAGTGTTAGAATATATTTACAATAAGTTTGAAGTATGCTGGGGTATCTGTTAATCATCTAATTGAGGAAGCAATCTTAGAAGTTGTTCTCCAATTTGTTAGATTTTGTTAATAGTTTCCTTGTTCTATCAGGGGCTAGGCTATTGGCACTATCAATTGCATATTCCCACTCCCCACTAACAATTCATAATTGTAATATTCTAAACCAAGCTTACCAAAATAATTTACTATTCAAGTTGAATTTTAATTAAATACATTAACATTTGTCTATCAACACTCCACAATGACTTGTTTATTTTTACGTTTTATTCTCAAATGATCTAACTTGTCTTTTATCGTTTCTGGTTAGCTTGCTAATGCCACATTTAAATTTTAATAAGGTACAGGTATTAAAATTTTAATAATCCCAAGTATTTTCTCTTCTAAGGGAACATGACATAGCTGCAATTATTTAACGACATTGTATTTCTAAATTTAAGTGATTTAATTATATTAAGACATTTCATACTATAAGTCATGAAGTTTGGCATTGTATTTGGATTTATTTTTTCAGGAGTGAAGAGCTTTGGTGTATAAGAAAAATTAAAATTAACTAGGATGTGAAAAGATAAACAGTAATACTTAAGATTATATTGAATATAAACTTTTAGGTGAAGGTAATTTATGAAAAATAAAATTATAAGTCCATTAATGGGGAGTGCAGATAGGCAATTGAGAGACCCAGTAGCCTCAACCCCAAAATATGGCTACTATTTTAATTATATTAATGAGCTTTGGCTTGTACTAGTAATACAACATTAGTTCTTGACCCGATTTTTAGTAGACAGGATCATTTTGTTTGTATTTTGCATAAAATTATTGCACATATCAATACTATCTTATATTGAGTATTCCTTTTCTTTATCTTCCTTTCTGTTTACCTAAGCCCTATAATTTTAACAAGCTTAACTATAGGTCAAAGTGAGGGAGGAAGGAAAAGGAATAGCAGATGGAATTTAGAATTATTCCTCATCAAATTGCATACCTCTTGCAGCTTCTTACGTCGCCCTTTGGATTCAACAGGAAAGCGTTGCAACATCAAGAATAGTCTATAAAAAAAACAGTCAGAAAGGGGATGCAGAATCAGATGGGGCAGTAAGAATGTACTAAACATAGGTATGCATGTAAGTAGGTTGACAACATTCAAATTTCAATTTAAAAGTAGAATGTAAAAAGCGCTAGGTTTAGTCCCTCCATCTGCCTATAAATTATCTATTTTTTATAGAACAGGAAATTTCATTTGAGAACAAGATAAGACAGACTGAAACAGGAGGATAAGTTATGCATTATGAGTAATGATTAGGGAGTTGGTTCTGATTTGAATCAGGTATCATCACAAAGCAGCTTGTAAAGGGAAATGCCATAATCTATTTACCATTCAGTACCTAAATTCCACAAAAACCCCTTTGTAGGCTTGTGAATTGTGATTGTGCATCAAAGCTCCCAACTAAAATAATGATCACTTTACTGCCATCCCATCTAAAACCAAATAAAGTAGCTCAAAATTTTCAAAATCCTTACTCACAGCTGGGTCCAAAATCCATATCAGGGTAATAAATAAGACCAAAACCAATTATAGAGGAAAGAAACACATTTCAACTTATTAAGCTGGTTTCGTGTTTTTTTTTTTTTTTTTTTTTTTTTTTAAGATTTACCTGTCCCAATTTCAAAAAATTTCTAGTTTAGCCAAAACAGTCGATACTGGATGCCACATTTTCAGATTTTATTCCGCTCTTGATTTTCACATACAACTTACAAAATGTATTCTGAATTCTTTCATTATATGATTGAGTAGGGGCTGGGGATAAAAACAATTTGAAGGCTTCAATTCCCGCCCTCCCCCAAAAAAATGTTCTTACTAAATCCTACACTCTTTTTCCATGTTTTCTGGTAAATCCCTTCCTCAGATTTCTCCATATTTCTTGTAAAATAGAATTGTTGAGAGAGTTTAACATCAAATTTTTTTATTTTTTTTTAAAAACAAAAGTAAAATGGAGCATATTGAAGTTACAAGTTTAGAAAGATGTGCACTAAAACTTGCTTGGAGGTGAAAATTGGAGAACATATCATATCACAACTCAGAATTTATGTATCATGGATTTATCAGACAAAGTGAAGAAGAAATGAGGAGAATTAAATCATAGGGATCAGTCTGTTGGATGAAATATAAGAATGCTTTAGGTGTTATTTGTGATCAGAAGGTGCTTCTTAAGCTAAAAGGAAAATTCTTCCACACAACCCCAAGGCACCCATGTGTTCTCATATTGAATGTTGGGCTATAAGTACCCACAAGATTATAAACCAAGTGATAGGATCAAATGAGTGAAATAGAGAGAAAGGAAGAATGACACCCATTTAGGAAAAGATAATAGAGTATTGACTAAGATGGTTTAGCGATGTGAGAAGAAGGCCAATAGAATCCCCCAACAATAATAAAGTTGATCAGATGGAGTATAGTCTGTTGGGTCCAGGCCAATTGGGCCTCCACTCAAAACATACCAGAGAAGGAGGGGTAGGATGGGAATTGTGGGCAAAGAGGTTGTTAAGGTAGATTCTAACAGAATGGGTGACGTGGATGAATGAGAGAGGAGGGGGCTGTAGGAGGGATATAGGGGTGTTGATCAGAGGAAGGGAGGTAGGATTTATCTGGGAGGTTATTTGGGAGGGCGGCTGTCATAGGGACAGTCATTGTTGCTGCATTACATAATCCAGTTTTCCTGTTGTTCTTGCTATTTCTACTTGTAATCTCAAGGATATCCCCTGACCGGTTTGTCATACATTTATAAATATATTCTGTTCCTATCAAGTTGGTATCAGAGCTCCCGATCCTGGGAGCGCCTGATGGTAACCACATGAATGGAGAATCGAATGGAGAATGTCGAGCGGAGATTGGAGGGCATGCAAGCCTCCATTCAGGAGGAATTGCGGAGGCAAATGGATGAGATGTTGACGATGATGACGGCGAGGTTCAAGACGGCTTTGCGTGTAGTACGAGAGGAGAGGGAAGGGGAAAATAGTAATCAAGGAGGTAACGGAGGCGATGAAGCCTGGCGAAAGGAGGAACGAGTAAGGAGAGTAAAGGTGCCCTATTTTGCAGGAGAGGACCCCCATGGATGGGTGTACAGAGCAGAAAGATATTTTGAGATTAATGGCATACCTGAGCCGGAAAAAGTGGATACCGCAGTAGTGTGCTTGGAGGGGAAAGCCCTCAATTGGTACCAGTGGTGGGAACCGAGAGTGCCGACCGCCACGTGGCCCATTTTCTGGCAAGCATTATTGGGTCGTTTTCGGTCGTTGTCTTCAGAGAATCCGTACGAAGCTCTAATGGGGCTAAGGCAGAGGGGAACAGTGATTGAATACCGAGAACAGTTCGAGTTGTTCTCTGCTCCACTCCGTTTTGCTGACGAGGAATTTATGATTGGGGCATTCCTCAATGGCTTGAAGGAGGAGGTCAAGGCTGAGGTGAGGTTGCGGGACTCCGGAGACTTAAGCATGATCATGGATTTTGCTCAGAAAGTGGAGGAGAAGAATATGGTATTGGGCTTTCCTTATGGTAGGGGGAGCGGGTCAATGGGTCCAAAGCCACATTGGGCCTTAAGGGTAGGGGCCCAAGAAATGACTAAATTAAATGGGACAGGGAGAGGTGAGCCCAATTCGTCGTCGGGGTTTAGGCTTTTTGCTCGCACTAATGGCAGTTGGGTTGAAGGCCCAGGGAACCGCAATAGTTCACGAGAGTCCTTCACACCTTCGAGCTCAAATCGCAGAGGCCTAGGGTTCAAACGGCTAACCGAAGAGGAGGAAAACGACAAAAGGAGGAGAGGCCTTTGTTTTCGCTGTGATGAAAGGTTTACCCCAGGCCATGTGTGCCGCAACAAGCAATTACATGTGGTTTTGATGGGAGAAGAGGAGGCGGACCAGGGCGGGGTTTCCATTAAAGACGACAATGAGGAGGAAATGAACCTCCAGCTAAATGCGAGTAGCATAGCGGGGATGACCTCCAAAAATTCATTAAAGCTGTGGGGTACTATCTCGGGTAAGAAGGTGATAGTCATGGTGGATTCCGGTGCCTCCCACAACTTTTTATCTCCGGAACTAGTGGAGGAGCTGAAAATACCCACTGAAGCTACAAGAGGGTACTTTGTGGAGGTAGGGGATGGTCAACGGTTGGGAAGTCAAGGGGTTTGTAGGAGTGTAGTACTTGAACTACCCAACCTACAAGTAGTTCAGGATTTCTTTCTCTTCGATTTGGTGGGCGTGGACGTTATTCTGGGGTACGAGTGGCTTAAAAGTTTGGGAAAATTTAGTGCGGACCTACGACAGCACTTGATTGAGGTACAGAAGGAGGGAAGGACCATTGAGATAAAGGGAGACGTGGGGCTGTCCAGAACTGTGGCTTCGTTAAAAGCAATAAGGAAGGAACTGAGGGGAGAGGCAGAGGCATATTATGTAGAATTGGGGATGCTGCATATGGGCTGTTCTGAAACTTCTACTCAGGTGTTAAACACCACATCTGAAACGATGAAGGAGTTGTTATGGGAATTCGGGGAACTATTCAAGGAGGGAACTGCTCTTCCACCGGAAAGGGAGTGCGATCACGCTATTGTCTTAAAGGAGGGAGCCACCATTCCCAACATTAGGCCTTATCGACATCCGCACCGTCACAAAGAGGAGATTGAAAAATTTGTGAAGGATATGTTAGCAGCAGGTATGATCAGGCCGAGCACCAGTCCTTATTCCAGTCCACTGATTCTCGTAAAGAAGAAAGACGGGAGTTGGCGTTTTTGTGTAGATTATCAGGCCTTGAATAGCATCACCATCCCCAACAAGTTTCCAATTCCTGTCATTGAGGAGCTGCTGGATGAATTAGGAGGGGCAACAATTTTTTCTAAGCTTGACCTAAAATCAGGCTACCACCAAATACGAGTGAGACCAGAGGACATTCCTAAAACGGCATTCCGAACACATGAGGGGCATTACGAGTATGTGGTAATGCCATTCGGGCTAACCAACGCTCCTTCAACCTTCCAAGCACTGATGAACTCGATTTTTAAACCTTACTTGCGTAAATTTGTACTAGTGTTTTTTGATGATATTTTAGTGTATAGTGCAGATCATAGTTCACACGTGGACCATTTGCAATTAGTCCTTCAGCTTTTGAAGAGACATGAACTGTGGCTCAATGGCAAGAAGTGCAGCTTTGGGGAATCACAGTTAGAATACTTGGGGCATATCATTTCATCCGTTGGGATCTCTGCTGACCCTGCAAAGGTCTCTGCTATGAGACATTGGCCACAGCCTAAAGACCTTCGAAGTCTGAGGGGGTTCTTAGGCCTAACAAGTTATTATCGCCGTTTTGTACGAAATTATGGAATTATTGCTAAGCCCTTAACACAGTTGCTCAAGAAGAACAGTTTCAAGTGGTCAGAAACAGCACAGGGGGCATTTGAGAAGCTCAAGGGAGAAATGGAGGCGCTGCCTACTTTAGCCATGCCCAACTTTGATTTACCATTCGTGATCGAAACAGACGCTTCAGGTTATGGGTTAGGGGCTGTCCTTATGGAGCAGGGTCGACCCTTGGCCTTTATTAGCCAAGTTCTTTCAGATAGAAACAAGGTGAAATCAGTGTATGAACGAGAATTAATGGCGATTGTGTTCGCTGTTCAGAAGTGGCGACAGTATTTGTTGGGTCACCGCTTTACTATTCGTATTGATCAAAAAAGTCTGAAATTTTTATTAGAACAACGCGTATTGGTGGGGGAACAGCTGAAGTGGGTCACCAAACTGATGGGGTTTGACTTTGAAATTCAGTACAAGCCGGGAATGGAGAACATGGCAGCTGATGCATTATCCCGAATAATGACTTGCAGTGCAATATCCATGGTCACCCACTCTGACCTAGTAGAGTTGGCTGAGGAGGTTATGGAGGATGAGCAGTTGAAGGGAATTATACAGAGGGTGGTAACCGATCCTAACTCACATCCACACTATGCAGTAGCACAGGGCTGTTTATGGTATAAGCAAAGGTTGGTATTACCTAAGAAGTCTGGCAGAATTCCATTGTTGGTGGAATTTCATGCATCACCTTGGGGTGGCCATTCTGGAGTTACTAGGACATATAAGAGGCTGGCCATGATTTTTTATTGGACTGGAATGAGACGAGATGTGGAGAGGTTTGTGGCTAATTGTCAGGTGTGCCAACAGAACAAACATGAGACCTTGAAACCAGCTAGGCTTCTTCAACCTCTACCAATTCCCGAGCATGTATGGGAAGACATATCCATGGATTTTATTGGAGAATTACCTCGGGCAAAAGGGGCAGACAGTATCATGGTAGTAGTAGACCGACTGAGCAAATACGCCCACTTTATTCCGTTGCTCCATCCATACTCGGCTACGGAGGTAGCAGCAGTGTTCGTCAAGGAAATCGTGCGTTTGCATGGGTTTCCCAATTCTATAGTCTCCGACCGAGATAGAATATTCATTAGCTCATTTTGGAAAGAGCTTTTTCGTCTCCCGGGCACACGGCTTAAATTCAGTTCAGCTTACCATCCTCAAACGGATGGTCAAACCGAAGTGACTAACCGTACCATTGAAGCATATTTGAGGTGTTTTGTTAATGATCATCCTTGTCAATGGGTGAAATGGCTACCATGGGGGGAGTTTTGGTTTAATTCCTCCTTTAATGCATCCATACAAATGACTCCCTTCAAGGCGTTATATGGCCGTGATCCTCCCATGGTCATTCCCTACTGCAAGGACAGTACTGCAGTGGCTGATGTGGACAAATTGCTACAGTTCCGGGATAGTATTTTGGAGGAGCTCAAGCAACATTTAATTAGAGCACACATGAGAATGAAGGAGCAGGCTGACAAAGGGCGTAGGGAGGTGGAATTCCAGACTGGGGACATGGTATACCTGAAAGCCAGACCTTACAAACTGAAAACCTTGGCCAGGAAGGTTAATGAGAAGTTGAGTCCAAGGTTTTATGGCCCATTTCTAGTGGAAGGAAGGATTGGAGTTGTTGCTTATAAGTTGCTGTTGCCGGAACCATCACGCCTGCACCCGATTTTTCATGTTTCTCAGCTCAAGAGGGCTCCCCCAACGAGCCAAGCATGTCAAGAATTACCACCATTTTTAACAGAAGAGTTAGAGCTTCAGGTTGAGCCTGAAGAAGTGCTGGACGCTAGGAGATTGTTAAATGGTAGTTGGGAGGTGTTGGTGAAATGGAGGAATCTGCTTAAGGAAGATAGCACTTGGGAAGAATATGAACTGCTGCAAGCCATCTTCCCCCAATTCAACCTTGAGGACAAGGTCCCTCTCAATGGGAGGAGTATTGTTGGGTCCAGGCCAATTGGGCCTCCACTCAAAACATACCAGAGAAGGAGGGGTAGGATGGGAATTGTGGGCAAAGAGGTTGTTAAGGTAGATTCTAACAGAATGGGTGACGTGGATGAATGAGAGAGGAGGGGGCTGTAGGAGGGATATAGGGGTGTTGATCAGAGGAAGGGAGGTAGGATTTATCTGGGAGGTTATTTGGGAGGGCGGCTGTCATAGGGACAGTCATTGTTGCTGCATTACATAATCTAGTTTTCCTGTTGTTCTTGCTATTTCTACTTGTAATCTCAGGGATATCCCCTGACCGGTTTGTCATACATTTATAAATATATTCTGTTCCTATCATAGTCTAATAATTAGAGATAGAATATGACTGAATAACTTCTTGGTGAACCCATTAACTGACCACACCTAGAGGAAAAAATACTTGAGTTTTCGTAATTGTTTTGTAGTTTTGGTTTTCCAGAGATGAGTCTTTCAAGGATATAGCCACATTTAATAAGACACCATGCATTGCAATACAAGAAGAAAAATACACAGTAATATATCACAGTGCTGATATGTCAACTGTCTGTGCTTTAGATTTGAAATCTTTATCCTCTTAGAAGGTTGATAGAAACTAGGTATCTTCTTAAGAATAATTAGGGATGAACTGAATTCCATGGATAAAACACTGCGGTTCTTTAAGGGACTGCTCCTCTCAAGCCAAAGGCCCCAACTCTCCAACAATTGACAAGATGATCTCTCTCCCTGCCTCCTTATTTATAGGGGCAATTGTGCCTTATTTCTTCTACAATCTCAACCTGCCCAACTACTAAATAATTCAGACTAACTAGCTAATATATTGCAACTAACTACTAAAGAGTCCCTAACTAACATATCATAGCTAACTACTTATGGGGGTTACCTAACATAGGGACTGCAGCAGAGATACAAAAACAAGTCAAAACTAATAGAAGTCATTATCCTGATAGTTAATATTCTTAAAACTACATCAATCAAACAACAAATCAAACCATAAACACTATGTCATAATCATGATTAGGACTATGACTATCATAGGCCACAATTGCTATCCCTTTTCTACTTTATTCTTGATGGAGGTCTTGGTTACAATTATATATCCTACAAACAAAACCACTATGCAGCTAGGGTATGAAAATTCAGGGCAGCAACAGCAGCTCCCAAATATTGAGAGGAGTAATCAAGATACAAAGGAACAGTCAACCTTGAGATTGGAAATAATTAATTTGTGAAGAAGATTTCAAACACAAGTAAACATCGGTCTAAACTAATGAGTTTGACTTAACAGATCCAACAATTACAATGAATTATTTAAATGGGATAGAGTCCTACCCACACTAAAAGCTCATAAAGTTAATTCTAGCTGCTATTGAGAATTATGACTGAAATTCCATTAAAAGTTTGGGCCCTAATCTCAATACAGATAGATACCAACCAATACAGTTGGAAAAAAACCAAGGGATGTAAATTTTATTTCAGCTAATGCAAGCAATTTCTTTTCTACTTCATTTTTCTATTCAGAAACAGAAACCCCAACTCAATGGATTGCATCTTGTAACTTTGATGATGCAAATGCAATAATTTCAGTCCAAATTACGTCAAAGGGAGATGGAAATTGATACACACAATTACCTTCCACCATAGAGAAGAAAGCCAAGGGATGCAAACAAAGAGACCCCTATTGCAACATACATATTATATGCATTAGGAAAAACTCATAAAAATCACAATCAATAAAAAAGACAAACCATTAGCATAGAGTCATAGACAAACCTGCAAAGAATATCTTAGACAGAATAAGCAGTACACTGATAGGTTTCCACCATAATATCAACCACAAAGTAATCTGATATACATTAAACCAAAAAACAAGATGGGTCAAAACAAACAAATTCAAAACTACTCATCATGGAAGTAACAGCCACCTAAAACTTTCATTCAATACATATTAAAATAAGAACTAATGACACAAAAGATAAATAAATTGAATAGTAAACGTTAACTAACAGCCAAACATCATTTTTAGGACATTCTCTGCATGATAAACCAAAGAACCTACCTGGCCTTTTCCCAGTTCAGGATAGGTAGACAATAGCCAAAGGGCATTTGTTTACCCCAACAACATTGAGTACATGTCTCCCCTGCCATGTTTCACAATCCTCAGTGGACCTCCTTCAACCACAGACAAAGGAGAGAATGGCGAAGCATTTAACAATACCCTTAGTCCCCTCAACTCCCCAGGTTACAGGACTCAGAGAACTTCCAAAAAGCCAAAATATTTGCAGAACCTCAGCATAGAGATAGGGCTGGGGCGTGAGTTGAGCCAGCTTGTGAGCCTACTTGCAGCTCGGTTCATTACTAGCTCAAGACCAAGATTTTTTGTTGTCTAATAATGAGCTTAGCTTGAACTTTTGCATGTTCTACTTAATAGATATTTACACATATGGACATTTTTTGACAGTAATAATTTCAATAATGAATTAATTATAAAGTATTTAATTTAATTTTTTTATTTGACTAAATTACTTTAACAGAATGTATGCAGAAAAAAAACTAAATTACAACTTTGAACATAACACGTTAAGCCTAAAATATTCAATTAATGTGAGGCTCAATACTGACTCATTAAGCTTAAGGTGAGTCAAGCTTGAGCCCAAATAAATGGGTAATTTTTTTATTCAGCATTTGAGCTAAGCTTAGCTCAACTCACTTCTACATAGAGCAGAAAGTGGAATAGGGAGGGAGTTGCTCGTCAATGGAAGGAGACATATCAACAAAATTAGGACAATGCCAGTAGAGAGGAAGTGAAAACATTCAGTCTTGATGATGTTTTAAGGTAAAATATGAAAATTTTGAATCTAGCTTGTTATGATTAAAGGCTTATACATTGCTCACTTAAAAACATAAATATTATTCTTTTTTCCTTCATATCTCTACAACCATAACCTTGTAATAACACTGTATTGGATATCTCACAAAAATTTCCTCCTAGACAACATGTAGTAACTAGTAACTCACACTGAAACCAAACATCATTCTATAGTTGATCACATACACAAAATTTATAAATGATAAGTGACCTTCCAGTAGCTTTGACCAAACCCCCTTTCCTATAACATTATTCTATTGCTCACTTAAAAGATGCATATATAACATTACTCTTCCTTCTGTTTTAAAATTATATAACCCCCTTTCCTAAAAGATTAAAAGGTATCATAATTTAATCCATTTTAAGTTTTGGTTAAAACATTATTAAACATTTGTTTAACATTTTTTTATTTAAAAATAAATTTACTAATTTATTTTCACCCAGAGTACAATTTTCATTTGTATTCTCTAATTTTCGAAATCTTTCCACATGACATCATTGACTTCAATCAAAAACCAAATTTTTAGAAATTTGACTAATCAAAAAGTCTTTTTTAATAACTCCATCTATGATTCTTTTGAGTCTCCCACAACCCCTTTTTATTGGACTAAGAGCTATATAATCCACTCTCCTCACTGGTACCTCCAAAGGTCTTCTCTACAAGTGACCAAACCACTATAGATGGTTTTTAGTAATCTTTTCCAACATAAGTGATACTTTAATATTCTCACATATTCTATCATTTCTTTTGTTGTCCTTTTTCATGCGATCATTCAACCACCTTATCATTTTCATTTTGGTCACTTTCACTTTTTTCTTGTGTTACCTTCAAGGCCCAGCATTCACTACTATATAGGATAGATCGTATTGTAATAAAGTAAAACTTCCCTTTCAAGCTTAATAAGTACTTTATGATCACAAATAACTCTTGATATCTTTCTCTACTTTAACCACTCAACTTGTATTCTATGAGCAATAAATATTATTGCTCCACTTTCCGCATCACAAGTGACTTTTTTTTAGTTTTATTTTCATTATGTAATGTCATGAGAAGCTTTTAAAACTCTAATAATAATGACAAATATTAATGCTCCTTGAAAAATATATTGAGCACATGCTTTTTGAAAAATTGACAAATAAAGTATTAAATTTATTAGATAGTATTTTAGTAAAGAAAATGTAAAACATATGTTTAACAATGTTTTGACAAAAAACACAAAATGGATTAAATTGTGATGCATTTTATTTTATTTTATTTTTTGGGAGGGGATTATTTAATTATAAAATAGAAGAAAAGATAGTGTAATATATGCATCTTTTAAGAAAAAGGAATGCAATTGACTCTTAAAAAAAAAAGTGAAAAAAGGCATGAACACATTGTCAGGTCCTTTTAAAGGTGCTTTATTTCACATTTGATAGAATATGAATTTTAAAAAGAAAAAGGTAAGGTGGGCATAAAGAAAGAAATGTAAAGGTATTTTCAAGTTTCCAGAAACATAAAGCATGAGATGGGATTTTAGAGTTCTCAAAAAGAAAATGTCATAAAAAGCATATTTACATATTATTATCCATTTTTATCTGATTAATCAGTTTTAACATCTTATTAACTTTCAAACTAAATTTGTTATAATAATGAAATTGGTGGCTGACTTTCTGATGAAATAATATTATCTTCAACTGCCCATTCATGGAATCACCTTCATTTTAAGAGTAAGAGAGCCAAACAACTCAATATCACACTAGATATTCAATGCATGCCACCCATATAGTATAGACTATAGAATACTCCAATTTTTCACTTGCTATTTGATTATGTTAAGAATTCAAAATTGCAGTTACAGAATAGACATATACAATGGTTGGAAGGCATTTCATATCTTTGCAGTATCTAACATATTGCAAGATACCAAAAACTCTTCAGATTACATATTGTCAAGAAGTTTGATTGTAGTGAAAAATATGCCAATTCTAGTTCCTACGTTAATAAACATAGTAGTCAATAGCACACTGTAGCAGTGTAGTGGAACAGCCCAGTGCTAGGCCACTAAAGGAAGACATTGAGTTTCAGAAACCCATTGTTACCCCTGCAACAGCATTGTCTGTGGGGTTTTGCAAAGCAAGATTATGATTACTGCCCCATTTTCAGAACATAACTATAGTTAAGCAAATATGGAAACAGGCTATAGTGATGCTACACTATCCAGGATTGATAACTATGTTAAAAAATACAGAAACAAATACGGAAACAGGTTCATACAACATCCATGGCCTAAAAGCGACAAAATATATCCACTCAACCAACAGTGGTGGGTAACCAAATGTCAAATTTGGGCAAGAATTTTCACCTGGATAGCATAAACCACAATGTTAATTGTATAGAAACTCGGTTTCAGTCCATCGGTCGATACAGCACGTGCCTGCAAAAGCATTTAACAACAAGGCAGCAATCAGCCCATCAAAACCAAGAAACGAAACACGCAGCCATGGAAGAAGAAAATCACACAAGGCAAACCAACTAAAGAGAAGTAAATGCACCACAAATCAGACTTGCCTGGTAATAAATCTCAGCCCAGAACAGGACCAAAAGTGCATATGTTGTAAAGAAAGCAAGACTTGGCAGGTCAAGTAAAATGTGTTGAACAATCTACATGCAAACACAACACATTCAGTGTCAGCGTGAGTGTGATCAACTGACCATATTATAGGCTGCAACCAGAAATAAATAAATAATTCATATTATACTAATTAAAAAGTCAAATTAAATGTTAAATTCGCTTCCTTATTATACCTCTGGCTTTAACCTCTGCACACTCCGGAAGAAGATGAAAACTAAACATCGAACTGCAAAACCAAAAAGTGTGCATAAATCACGCAACAAAACGTACCACTAACAATCAATTATTAAACAAAATATTCTAAAAATTAATTAAAAAAAAAAAAAGGTTTGAATGATACAAACCCCCATTCACCAAAAAATTGAGAAAGTGAAAGACCTTCTGCGTGGTCCAACCATACTCTGGCACTCTCAATTGTATCCGAACCAGTTGAACCTAAACTTCATTAAAAATTAATAATAACTAAAATAAACAAAAATAAAACCCTAATTTGGAATCCATCATGTTAGTAGCGCAGAGAGTGCAACGATACCAGAGCTACGGCAGCTACGATACCGTAGAGTACAGCAAGGGCGTAGAAGATACGATCCTGCCACGCCGGAGACTCGTTGATGTCGTGCCACCAGCTGAAGGCGTCAGTCAGCTCAACCGCCGCAACCGCCACCACCTCCGCCGCCGTGGCCGGCACGCCGTCGTTGCCCATTCCCGAATCGACGGTTATTTTAGCACACGCGCCACGTGGAAGTGAATGATAGAGGGAAAGGAAACCAGTAGTACACAAGCTAGTATTGCGTGATAATGAAGTGTATGTGTACGTGCGAGTCTCGATGTGTTGAGGCTGATAAAGAGGATGCTATCGAATCCAATTAATTTATTGTGAACGTGTGCGTGTATGAGTAGTGTCAGTCACAAATAGGAGGGGTATTTAAAACTAGAAAATTTTTATAAATAAAAATTAGAAGATCATTTTCATTTTTATTTTCTGTTGCTCAAAGAAGCTAAACAATCCACAACACAAACAAAATTTATAGAGATCCCAAATGTACATATGCCAAAGCCACTGGACCAAAAAAATAAAAAAAAAAAGGACATAAGGATAAAGGGGTCACATTAAAATAAAATATAAATATAAATATATAAAAGATGATACAGATTTTCTCTCATTTTTGTGCGAACTAAATACTTTAGTCAAGCAAAATTTTGTATTTTTCTTTAAGTAAATTTTTTTGCTTAAATAAAAATACAAAATCAACTCACTAGACGTCCAGTTCACAGGAGAGGATCTGGTTTCATATAAAAAAACTCTTCTAGACCTAATTTATTTATGAGTAACAATTAATCCCTAGCTGCAAGATCCCTGCAGGGACCGTCTCGAATAGGGCTTCGAATGTGGAGAAATTCTCCTTGCAGGAACGAGGATGGGGAAACCCCCATTGCTAATTTGGGGACGGGGACCAGTTCCCCCGCCCCACATGTTCCCTGAATCCCCGAGCATATATAAAAATACTTAAATAACCTTCTTAAATATCATACATATAGGATAATATAATAACTTCCTCATTTAAAATAAAATATAATGTTCTTTTAAATAATGATAATAATATAAAATTATAGTTTTTAATTATTTTTTATGTATTTTCGAGGAAATCTGCAGGAATCCGTAGGGAAGCAGGGAACGGGGATGGGGAAAAAATCTCCCCATGGCAGGGATCGGGGATGGGGACAGGGAGGAATATGGGGTGCAGGGACGGGGAGTGGAGGAGCATCTCCCAACCTCGTCCCGCGCGGGTTTAGCATATTAATGAATTTCTCTACATATATGACAAAATTTAATAAATTTAACACATTTTAATAAGTTTATAATTTTCTTAAGCACCCTAAATAATGGGTGAAATTGATATTAAATATTCAAAACTTAAAAAAAATAACCTCTTTACAGTCATTCTCAATTAAGACAATGCGGTAACTTCTCTTTATAGCTAGTTGTATCCCACAAAAGATCTTCCAAAGTTCACCTTCAAGATGGGGACATTGGGCAATTTTGCTACATAAACCAACTAAGAACTACTTGACTATCATGGAACAAGCCTCCACAAGCAGCTTCACTTTGAAACAAGGAGATAGCACCATTTACATTCAACTTCAAATGGCCAAGAGGAGGAGAAATCCAGTTGACTCTAGTTTGGTTATACTCAAGTTTTGGAAGATAATTATAATTGTCCTACTACAGGAGAACATATAATGAGAATCACCTTGACTTTTATGAACGAGAAAGTTAGGCTAGATAAAAGAATTTTGAAAAATAAAAGGTATCCTTATCTTTCCATAAATGTTACACAATAACCCAAAAAAAATTGTGCTAAGTAAAAAATTTACTAAAGTTATAAATAACAACCAATCCAGAGTACCTTTATTGAAAAAATACAACTATTGACAAAAAAAAAGAAGGTGTTTTCATAATTTTTTTAGCATAAAAATAGTCCTTATGAATATGCATAATAGTTTGAAGGCATCTCCACATCTAGGACAAATAAGAGAATCAATCAAGTCTCCTTTACACCTCTCCTCATTATTAAGAAGTTTTCTCATTGCAAACTTTCCAAAAGAAAAAGGTGACAATGAAATTTATTGACAAAATATTTGGTTAGCAAATATGCATGTTTGTACAACTGTAATTACATTATTATCTCTTTAATTAGAATAGCCCAACTATAGGATAGCATTTATAGGCATGATTGTACAACTGTAATTACATATTTATTCCCTTAATTAGGGTAGCTATTTTTCAGGGTTGAAAATTAGATTGTACAAGACTATTTATATAAGAAATCTCTAGTAAGAGAACACACAGTTTTGACCTATATTTTTCAAAGTTTGACATGATATTAGTCTTGGTTACGATTCTAGCCTAGTCTTGCCCAAATTTTCTAGTCTTGTATTTTTTTTTTCACTTCTGTCTTGGTCTAGACTTAGTCTCTTTTATTTCTTGTCCCTTTTTCAATTTTTTATTTGTTCAAATTTAGCCTCATGCCTACTGACAAAATGATGTCTTATTAGTTTGCCTTCATGGCAAGAACTACTCAACATGGGCCTTCTAGTTCTAGATATTTGTCAAAGATAAGGATCTTTGAGGTCATGTTGATGGTAGCAATTCTACTCCTCATAAAGAAAAAGAGAAGGTTGCATATACTAAGTGGGAAGTCAAAGATACTCAAGGCATGGATAATAGGCTCTGTTGTTCCCTATATTGTCCTCAAATTTAGACCATTTAACACTATAGCCAAAATATGAGCTTATTTGAAGAAAATATATAGCTAGAATAACATTGCTCTAAGGTTCCAACTTGAACATGAAATCACAATTTTTCAGTTGAATAGTCTCTCAATTTCTAAATTCTATTATCATTTCATGAATCTTTAGGCCAAATACACTGACATTGTCTATGAACATTTGTCAATTGATGGTATTACTTTCATGCAAACAGTTTATGAAACTACTGAACAAAATCAATCTCTTATGAAATTGGGATATGATTTTGAAGGTATTCGATCCAATCTTATGAATAGAGCTAGTGGATCTTTTTTGGATGCACTCCTCAATGTACTTCTTAGTGAAGAACAATGCCTCCTTACACAAAAAACCATGGAACAAAATAAATCTATATCTCTTCTAGTTGCATGCATTGTACAAGGCAAGCCTAGAGGACGAGTCATGAGTGGTGTCCAATGCTTGTGTTGCAAAGCATTTGGACATTTTGCTTCACGCTGTCCTAAAAAGTTTTACAATTACTACAAAAAAGATGGTCATATCATTAAGAATGTCTTATTAGACCACCTAAGAAAATTACAACAGCCTTTACTACTTTTATTGGTTCTTCAATTGCTCTTAGTTCTATGAATACAACAAATGTGCAACACCATGCTCCTACCCTTGCTCAAACTTTGACTCTTAAAATGGTTCAACAAATAATAGTTTCAACATTATCTGCCTTAGGTCTCTCAAGTAAAACTTCTTCTACCTCTTCTCCTTGGTATTTTGACTTTGGGACATCCAATCATACGACTAACAATGTTGAAACCCTCACAAATGTCACCAAATATTTTGGCAATTTCCAAATTCATATTGTTAATGACAATCATTTACCTATCACAATAATTGGTGATATTTCTTCATTTTTGGTCAGTTAATGGACAATGACTCCTGAGTTGAATTCTCAAAATTTGGTTGTCTTGTGTAGGATCAACAATTAGGAAAGATAATTGCAAATGAGCCTAAAGTTAAACATCTTTTTTCCATTTCTTTCTCAGTTTCTCCATGTCCTTTTCTACCTTTTGTTTCTTGTAATTTTAATGCTGTTAATTTCAAATTATGGCGTAAGCATCTTGAACATCTAAACAAAAGTGTACTTCTTGACTTGTTATCATCTAATGCTCTTGGTAATAAAGAGTCTCCACACATTAGTGCAATTCAATTTAATTGCAAGTCTTGTAAAGTTGGTAAAAGTAAAATTCTACCATTTCAAATTCATCAATCAAGTGTAAGTTAACCTTTTAATATGATTCATAACAATTTATTGGAAGTGGCACTTGTTATATCTCATGTTCATTACAAATACTTTGTCACTTTTATTGAAGACTATAGTCGTTTTACATTAGTCTATTTTTTGTGTTCTAAAGATGAAGTTTTCTCTGCTTTCAAATTTTTTCATGCCTATGTTTAAACTCAATTTTCTTCAAAAATTAAAATTCTTCTATTTGACAATAGGGGGAGTATGTATCTCGTATATTTGAAGCATTATTGCAAACAAATGGTATTTTATCCCAAAGGTCTTGTTCTTCTACACCCCAACAAAATAAGGTAACTACAAGGAAAAATCACCAGCTTCTTGATGTTGTACGCACCCTTATGTTGGAATTCTTTGTATCATCTTAGTTTTGGTGTGAAGCTCTCTCCACTGCTATATATCTTATTAACTATCTGCTCCTATCGTTAAACAATGATTCCCCTTTCACACGATTATTTGGTCACCCACCCAATTATTCAAATTTACACACCTTTGGTTTTGTTTGCTATGTCTGTCTTCCTCCACAAAAATGCATCAAACTCACAGCTAAATATGTTAAACGTGATTTTTTAGATTATTTAGTCGACCAAAAAGGTTTTCTATGCTATGATTCTTATCTACATCGGCTTCGGATCTCTAGAAATATCACATTTCAAGAAAATACATATTTTCTCCCACTAACTATGACACTCTCTCTTCATCACCCATATTTGTTTTGCCTTTTTTTTTTTTTTCTAACAATTCTATAGAACATCTCTTGATATATCAAAGACATAAGTTTGTCACTCTAAATTATGTTAGGAATAAGTGTGTATACCCAAGACCCAAAGTTATCATGTACTTCATTCCATTTATAATAATAAAATATTATTTTCTTCCTTTATCTTATATACACTTTTTTGACATAATAGTTTATTTGATTAAGGTCCTTGATTAAATTAAAAACTTGTTATCATAATAGACATTATGATAATGAGAAACATGTCTCTTATAATTTAATCTAAATCATTTTTAATCATAAGATTATTAATAGAATATTAATAATCTAGATAGATTAATATATATGTGATAATATTAATTGGATGAATATTAATAGATCTCATTTATTAATTCAATATATAGATGACACACATATGGATGTGGTCATTGAACTGACTAAAACTGAGAATTTTTTATGGTTAATATTACCTTATATTGTCAATAGAAAAGTCTCAAGAGAAAAAATATAAAATTTTCTTTGACCTAAGATTATTATAGTAATCAACAAGTCATTTATTATATTTTAATTCTGGACACCTATTGCTTTAGAGCACTAGCTGAATAGATATTA